ATGCTGTTTTTTGTGTATTCTCTTTAAGTTTTATAAAAATAATAGCATGGTATTATTTATACATAATTAAACGGTTACATATTGTATCAATTTTTTTTATGTTTACGTTATAGATAAAGTTATGTTATAGATAAAGTATGGGGGGGGGGGGGGAATAGGGGTTACCCAAAAAAATACGAGTGCGTACAAGGTGAAAAGGGAGGAAGGAAGAGTATATTAAAGACAGCGAATACGTACGCGGTTTGACTATCCCTAATTCTCTATATCTCTTCTAAAACTTTTTTTTTTTCATTAATAAAAGCATTGAATTTCACGCGTTTAAAAAATCAATAAAATGTTATGTATCAGAGTAATATCGAATTAACTTGAAGTTTCTTTGTTTATAATGCTTTGTGTTTTGAAAAAATCATATAATTTTCTAATGCGTTGGAAAAGGAGTGATTTTGTAATAAATAATGCGAACGTAATCAGGAAGGTGGGGGTGTTAAAAGCATAAAGGTATGGACAAAAGGAGAGGGGCCCTAAATCAGTTGTTTTACGGCGTACATTTTTTATGAATGCATCATATAATTGTGATTTTTATAAATACTTTCGTACAGAGTCGTTCCAAGCTGGCTTGGTGACCTGGGGCAAAATTAAATCGTAAAGCTCTAAAATCTAAATGTCATGTATACAATAGCATTGTAAATATGATTGTATAGACTTTCTGACATTTAGAAAGTATTAAAAGTGGTTCCTAAATCATTGGGGTCTGGGAATAAATTGTCTCGTTTTCGGAGATGTCCTGGTCTCATTTTTAGTGACGGATCCAGGATTTCTTGGTGTTTGAGATGGCTAACTTCCAGACATGGAGCACAATCAGAACATTTGTATGTTTATACAATTATACTTATGCCAAAAAGTTACTATAATTATGTTAAATAATGATGCTTTGCAAAAAATTGTGATAATTGAAGGAACGAAAAAGCCCTTTAACATGATTTCCCACCCCAAACGAGAGGGGCAACAAGTTAAAAATATTTTTTTTTGTACTATTCTTAATTAGACTAATTTCATCGACTAAATTCATTGATAAATTTTAAGTTTTATAGTATTATTTCTCAGCCTTCGAAAGTTATGACCATTTAAAGTTTAAACCCTCCCGAATTCGAGGGGGTTACAAATTTTATATGGTCATAATTTTTAAACACTGAGAGATAATATTATGAAACTAAAAATTTATAGATTAATATAAGTCTAGTTGAAATAGTAAAAATAATATTTCATCAACTCGCTTTCCCTCACGCTTGGGGTGGGTGGGTGGGGGAGGGGATGTAGTTAAAGGTTTTTTTTGTTCCCAGCCTCCAATCATTGCAATGTTTTGCAAAGCCTCATAATTTGATATAAGTATTAACATACAAATCGCGAGGTTAGAACTGTTTTGTTTTATCTCCACATTTTTTTGTTTTGAGATAAAACGGTATAAAAAATAAAAACTTTAGGAGATGGTATATAAAAATTTTTTTTTTACTATTGTTTTTCTCCAAAACTTTTTTGATTTTAACTTAGGTTTTAATATAGTAGGAAAACATTATTTTGAGGTACAAGACACAATCAATAACTCAATTTTTTTCAAAATGTGGAAATAGAACAAAATAATTCTAACCTCGTGAAATGTTTGGAGTTTGCTACATGTCTGGAAGTTAGCTATCTCAAACACAAAAAAATCCTGGATCTGTCTATTTACTTGTTGTTGTTTTTTTAAATTATTCCGGTCTTGAATTTACAAAAAACGTGAAAGCTGGATTTGCTGACTAGAAGACTTTTGCGAAGAAGCTTTTTGCGTTTTTTGCGGTTGGCTGTCTTGTCAAACCCTTATTCCGATGCTGTCCTTAAGGTTCTAAAATGTAAAAAACAACTTCTTTATTTAAAAGAGAATATGCCGACTCCAAACCCTTAGTCGTTGTTTGCATACTCCGACGTATGTTCTTTCTAAAAATCAGTCGATGTATGTGCGCACCGCTGCGTAAATCCCTATATACTCCATTTTGCCTATTTCCTAGAAATACGAGTTCGCGGAGGCAAAGAACGCTCAACGTCGGAATAGGGATCTCAAATTATAACTGGATAGCGTATACGGCAAAATTTTTGAAGCCAGTTTTGCCTCCCAAGATGTTTCTCAAGTTCCAAACAAGAACATAATATTAACTATTAGGTTCCACTAATATTTATAACTAATTATAACCTATTAGTAGAAGTAAAAAACAAACAAAAACCTAGTAGTTATCCAATTCAAAAGTTTCCAAACAACTTTCAAATAATTATATGTAAAAAATCGAAACAATTTTATTTATTTTTTGTTTATATTTTATTTACTTTCTTTTAATTTTAGTTTTACCATAAATTAATTGTTTGATATTGTTTTTTATACAATTTATGTACCTTTTAGTTCTTAACTACCCAATGCTGTGTGCTAGAAGGTTAATAACACAACGGCATGGTAGGCAGCTGAATATCTTTTTAAAATAAACTATAAATTAGCTTTTCAAATAGATATCACAAATTTACAAATGCTGCATGAACTATTAGCTGAGCTATGTGAGTACACACAATTCAGAGGCTCCTTCTAGAATTTTGTATATATATATATGTATATTTATATATATATATATATATATATATATATATATATATATATATATATATATATATATATATATATATATATATATATATATATATATATATATATATATATATATATACAGGGGCGGATCCAGTATTTTTTGGTGTTTGAGATAGCTAACTTCCAGACATGGAGCAAACTCCAAACATTTATATGTTTATACTTATATCAAATAAGGATGGTTTGCAAAAAATTGTGATGATTGGAGTCTGGGAACAAAAAAGCCCCAAAATTTAAGACGTACCTGCCCCAAACGTGAGAGCAACAAGTTGATAAAATATTTTTTGTACTATTCTCAACAAGACTTACATTTATCCATAAATTTGAAATTTCATTGTAAAATATTTTAGTGTTCAAAAATTATGACCATGTAAAGTTTGAATCCCCCTCAATTCGAGGGGGTTACAATTTTTATATGGTCATAATTTTTGAGCGCTAACATATTTTACAATGGAATTTAAAATTTATTGATAAATATAAGTCTTGTTGAGAATAGTACAAAAAATATTTTATCAACTTGTTGCTCTCACGTTTGGGGCAGGTACGTCTCAAATTTTGGGGCTTTTTTGTTCCCAGGCTCCAATCATCGCAAATTTTTGCAAACCATCCTTATTTGATATAAGTATAAACATATAAATGTTTGGAGTTTGCTCCATGTCTGGAAGTTAGCTATCTCAAACACCAAAAAATGCTGGATCCGCCCCTGATATATATATATATATATATATATATATATATATATATATAATTGAGAGTGGGTTGTAGCCATAACTAAAGAAGCCTCCTCAATTAAAGTGGCCTTCGTAGCCTCAGAGAGGTGAATTGAAATAAAAAAAATAAAAATATAGAAATATACTTGATACTTGGTTATGCTTAAATACATGAAATAAATCTGAACTATTTGCAAAGAAATTCTCTTCTAATCTGATTCTCAAATCTTATGGCCTTTTTCTTCCTTCCATTCTAATTAAACAGGTTAACCCATTGTTAGACATTCAAACTACTTCAGCTTCCTTTGCTCATAGTCATATCTCAATTAAACTACGTTTTACGAGATATGACTATGTTTCTACGTTTTCACTAATTAAACTTCTACGCCTTGTGGTCCAGACAAAGATCCTGTCACAGCCGTACAAAATTGTTCTTCAGGACTCAATTTTCTCTAAATTATTTAATAAATACTTGACTGTTTCTTGTTTTCCTGCCTGCTGGAAAATGGCATCTGTTGTTCTACTTTTTGAAAACTCTGGTAAACATACTGACCCCTCCAAATATTGTCCAATCAGTACTCTTTCTGTTATTAGCAAGGCCTTTGAGTCTTTGATAAACATATTTCTCACATTCTAACTTTAGTCAAATAACTTGTTGTCAAACAACCAATACGTGCTGTGACTGAAAGATTTTATCGTGCATTAGATGGAAGCTTAGAGGCTATTGTTCTAGACATATCTGAGGCTTTCGACAAAGTTTGACATGTTGGTCTTCTCCATAAGCTTGTTACATATGGTGTATCTGGGAAACTTTTGAAATAATCACACTGTTTTTTTTTTCTAATCACCTTAATAAAGTCATACTCGAAGGTCAACACTCTTCTTTATTTCTAGTAACTTCTGGTGTACCTCAAGGTTTTATCCTTGGTCCTGTTTCATTACCTATCTACATTAATGATCTTCCTGACAACCTCACATCTAAAGTAGCTCTTTTTTCTGATGACTCAACTTAATACCAATGTCTTGACAAAAATTCTTCTCTTTTTTGCATAGGAACAGACAGCCCATCTTGTATCTGATCTCACTTCTGTAGCTGATTGGGGCGCACAGTGGTTTGTAAATTTAAATTCCAACAAAACTCAGTTATTTACCTCAAATAACTATTGCAGTACTGTTGACACTCCTATTTTAATGAATGGCAACTCTCTCACTGATTCCTCTTCTTTATGTCTTCTTGGATTATAACTTACTACTGACCTTTCATGGAAACCATATATACAATGGATTGCTAAATGAGCATATGCTAAGCTTGCTTCTCTTTATCGTGCTCATCATTTTCTCTTTCCTAATTCCATTCTCTACCTCTACAAATTTCTTATTCGTCCCTGTATGAAATACTATTGTCATATTTGGGTTGGTTTTTCTAAGAATGCTCTTTCTCTTCAAGATAAGGTCCAAAAACGCATTGTAAACAGAGTTGAACAAAGTTGAGCTTCTAAGCTTGAGCCTCTTTCCCACTTTTTTCGGAAAAAACAATAGAATCCGCTATCCAATTATATTTTGAGTGCGTTCCGTTTTTTGCGCAGTCTTCAGTTTCGCCGAAACCGACAAATTTAAAATTTGTTTAGAATTATTTTCTGCGCGAAAACGCACGTGGTATACAGACTGTTATCAACAAAACATGGCGGAGGTACAGCCATGTCAAGAAATGTCTTTTGGTGAGAATGATTAATTTGTAAAGTAATAGTAATTTTACAAAATTGTACTCTTGGATTTGAGTCAGACTTTTTGTTAGACTGCAACTAATATAAAACAATTATTATTTTGAAATAGTATCATGTTTCATAAGAACTTTTTATATAGCTTGTTTGTTTTCAATTCAATTGTCTGGCTTCAATACTTAAAAAAAGTTATAAGATACCAGTTTCAATATTGTTTTATAAATTTTTACACCAGAATAAAGTGATTTAATTTAATGTTAATTTTTAAAAAAAGATATCAAAATTAATAATTTCTTCTCCTATTTTTAAGATCAATTTTGCCAATATCATTTTGTTTTTTAATATTTTTTTAAAATATGAAATCTAATTCAAAATTTGCAGTTCTTAACAGCTTAGTGTTTTTTACATAAAATTTTAATTAAAATTATTAAAGTGTATAATTGGTTTCATTACTTGGAAAAAATTATATCGTTCAATAGGCCACCTCCAAAGTTGATGCATTATTGTTCTTATTTTATGGAGTTGTTTCTTGCAAAACCTTTGGTTTCAAATTGACGTATTCTTTATCAATTTTAGCTTTCAAGCATTATAAGCATAAGATTTTAAAAAGCCTTTAAAAAATGCCTGGTGCTGTCAGACCTGGTGATCTGGACAGTCATTTCAAATCTCCAGAATAGGAGATCACTTAACTTGGAAATTGGTTTCTCAAAATTTCCATAGTTACATGAGCTGTGTCCTTTTAAAACCAATAATGATTGAAACCCAGTGCTGCAACTTGGGGCAAAAAAAAAATGGTTTAGCATCTGGTGTTACTGTAAATGTCACGCAAAACGCTTGTTATTTACATTAACAGCAACGCCTTTTTGAAGATTAATATCTTCAAAGGTCGTGGAACAATGACCTTTTCACTTAATACCTAACAGTCACTTTAAGGGGATGCAGTTGATCTTCTTGCATTTTTTGCATGTGGTTTCTCTGTGCAACAGAAATAAAAATTTTGTTAACATTACCACTTAAGTGGAAATGGGCTTTATTGTGTTTAATAGTAAGATAACCTTGTCTGATAGTCAGCAAGCAGCATTTTCTGAACAGTTTGCACTTAGTAGGTTAACATTTTCTAATCTTTTACCAAATCAACAAATTGTAACAAATGTCTGCTGATTAGAAGATAATCTGTTGATAATCCACATGCTGATAATCCACAATGGCTTGTTGACAATGCACAGTGTCATATGGCGCTATCTGCAAAATTTGTAGCCAATTCAAATTATGATATTACTTTTCTGCAACCCTGTATATATTGTGATATCTATCTTTATTGTTAGGACATAAACAAATAAGTCACTAGCAATAACTTAGTTACTATTTAAAATAACATAAACTTATCTAATTCATTGATAATATTTTTTTTATAGAAGAGGTTAAATTATAATCATATAATTTTTGATATATATCTTTTTAATGATAACTTGTTTTCTAAATAATTTTTTAAACATTGAATTTTTATTCTTTTTCCTTTACTTCAAAAATCATAGTTCAGCTAAAAATTAGCAATTTAATTTAAATTTAAGGAAATGTTTGTAATATTATCCTCTTGAGGATAAGCTAGCAGTTTTTTATTCTGTTGTTTATTTATATGAGTGTCATTGACCGCCTCAGATTTTAAGGAAACTTAGTGGTTTATATCAATAAAAGAAGCAATTTCTGAAAATTTCAATATAAAACCATTTGTGGTTCTGATTTTCTAAAAAACAGCTTAAGTAGCAAAAAAATGTTTTGTTCATACTCTGAAGCTCTATATTTTTTTATAACAAAATTCCAGAAAACCTTCTAGTTTTTTTTATTGAATACAACACTAGACATAAAACTTAGACATTAAATTTTTCGATGTCACATTTTATCCATAATGGCTACTTAAAAAGTTGTTTGGAAATATAGTTTTATTTGATCAATATACAAAATTAAACTCAGTATTTAAATAAAATTTGTCCCCTCCCCACTTACTTTTTAAAAACCCAAAACTTAGAAAAAAATTGTGATTGAACATTTTTCTTAACACAGTCTGGTTTTAAGTCTGATGCATGAATATTTTTAATGTACAAATACACTACTGAACATACACAAGCTGTGACACTGACTTTGTAATGTTAGATAGTAAAAAGACTGCATGTAAAATTTATAAGTAGCTTATGAGGTATAAATAAAGAGAAGGATTTTTAGTCTATATCCTAAGTATTTAGTATCTTAACTATAAATTTTGTATCATTTTTTTTTGTTTTCTTTACTACTATACCCTCCCCATTTATTGACTTTTATTTAGTTTTTATGTTTAAATTTGATTATAACTTATACTTGTCAACACAATGCATAAGTTGATTATGTAGTAAAAAATATTATTATGTAAGAAACAATTAAAACAAGCATTGAGTCTCTTAAATATGCTTTAAAAAAAACAAATCAAATTTATAATAATTTTGTTATAATGTTGTTTATGTTATTTATGCTGTTGTACAAACGTAATGTTTGAGTTTTTCTTGAGCTGATAGTTCATAGCATCTACCAGTTGCTGATTGAACTTTTAAAGATGAAGTTTTGCATAAAACATGTGTTATTGGAACCCAACAAAAATCTTCTTTATGTGGTTGAGTATAAAAATTTTTAAGGAAAACAGACTGCTTCATGAACTTTATAAGAATCTCTAGATTTTCTTCAGATATTTTTTTTAATTAAACTTTTTGCAATGTAGAACAAATGCATCATTTAAAATGTATTAAAAATGTATTTGATCTTTTGTCTACACAAATCATGCATTTTCTCAGGTGAATTAATAGGATCTATTAATGATTGATTGCTACAAGTATTTTGACAGAGCCCAATGTTATCACAACTCTTGTTCCATGTGATGTAGCAAAAAAATGTCATTTTGCAGATACCTTATGATCTTGTTCATGGTGACTAGTTAATTTAGTTTTTATAATTTTTATATTGTGAACCATTACTAAAATAAATACAAAGGTTAAAGTAAGGGATCAACTCTTTTGAACCTTTTATTACTTTGTAAATGAAATAATGAACTGAGTTTGAATTGTGTTGCAAATACAAACGATACAAACACTTTTGCATTTTATTATATTCCATATATTAAATAACAAAAAGATGCAATGTTATATGCTAAAATGCGCATGTTAAAAAGTAAACATACAAGGGGGAGGAGACAAAGGCTATTTAAAAACTTTGAAATAGCCTTAGTCCCCCCACCCCCTTCCTTTAGGTCTAATTCAGGCTTAATTTATGGCTTATTTCTAGTACTGATTATGAAATACTTTTACACATATACATATTTTGTATTACAATATATAATATAAACTAAACTACCGTAAAATGGGGTGACTTAGGTCAGTAATAAAACTTGTGGTTACTTGGGTCAAATTTTGAGGCCTTAAATAATGGGTAATAATGGCTTTTAATCTCTACAGTGTTAAATTTACAATAATGGTAAGTAAGCATATTGTTTATTTTAATGCACTTTTGTCACAAAATCTTAGCAACGTTGCAACTAAATTATTCAAAATTGTTTACACTAAAATTAAATTAAATTTTATAAGTTTAAACTTAATTAAACATTTTTTGCAGTAGCATTATAGAAAGGAAAGGTATATATTAAAATTACAAGTGCTAATACTTATTTCACATGTTGTAATATTCAGGGATTATCTTTTTCCGGATATTTCCGGAATTGCGGATATTTTTTTCAACTTATAATTTTTCCGGATATCCAAAACATTTTCAATAAATGCAAGTTGAGGTATATATTTTTGTAATATATTTATTTTTTAAGCTTTTTCACTCATCACTCATAGAAAAATTATGAAAAGTATTAAAAAAAAATTAGCATCAACTTTGCTAAAAGCGAAATTAAAAAGAAAATAAGGGAATTAAGTTCCGGATTTTTTCTGGATATTTTATCCAAACAATTTTCCGGATATTTAAAATATGACTAGGATAACCTATGAATATTACAACTGTAATAATTGAGGTGATTGAGTAAAAATTATTTTTTAGAAGTCTTCGGAGTAACTTGGGTCAACATTTATTCAAATTTTTGAAAACAGTTATTTTGTAATAGTAATTTATAAAGACAATTATATCATATAAACTTGTTAACATTATATTTGATTTTATTTCTTAAGTTAGTACTGCTTAATTCTATCCACCTGCATCAAGCAATATTTTTGTGTCTTAATAATTTGAAAATTTAAGACTGTTTTATTTTTAGATGCAGAGGAAGTACAATAGACAGTAAGGTGTAAGATAATATTCCAATTATTCTGAGGTGCAAGATAATATTCCAATTATTCTATTCAGAGATTGATAAGGGAAATTCAAATAGGGAAGTGGCAATAGAATTTAAGATACCAAGAGAAACACTAAGAAGGTCATGTAAATATAAAAAGTCTCATAAATCTTATGGCTGATCTTGTTCACTTAGTAATCAAGAAGAAGCTGCCTTATTTCGAAAATTACAAGTTGCTTGTAATTAGGGATATCCATTATTATTAGATAAAACTAAAAAAAAAAACATATCCATTATTATTATATATATCCATTATTATTAGATAAAACAAAAAAAAAAACATGTGAAAAAAGTTTAATGTTGACAAAAATAAATAGAAATGAGAAGTTTATGTGTAAATAAGTATTGGACTTATTTCATGAAGTGAACTTTATTTGTTGGGTGTAATTTTAAATGGAGTGCATTTTGTTTGTTTATTTTGGCTTTATAAATATATTTTTGAATTCTGTACTTGTTCATGTCTTTGACAGACTTGAATTAATAACTGACTTAAGTAACCCCAAAATCAGCTTAACTTAAGTCAGGTACAAAATAATCTAAAATCATTGCAATAATTTTATGCTACAATTTATATTTGCAGGAGAAAAGTTGTTAATATGATTATTATAATATATAAAAACCAATTCTGTAGATATTATGCATTTAAAATTATTAGGTAAGATGTTTCATTTTTGACCCAAGTAACCCCCATTTTATGGTACATCAATAACTCTATTATTTTTTAATGCATTTTGTGCTAGTTTTATTGTTCTGATTTTGTGACTCCATAACACATTGGGGCAGTAGGTGGACAAAATGGCAAAAATTTTAGTTGTCTAGTCTTGAAAACTTATTTAGTTTTGGTATCTATATATATTAAGAGAAATTTATTGATTATTTATATTAAATCTCTTAGTTAATAGGACTCTGAGCATTTGAATGTTGAAATTAAAAAAATTAAATAAAAAATAAAATAAGTAATTTTGGTGACATTAATGTTGTGTGATATTTCAATGAAATCTATGTTTTTAAAACTAAAAATTAGTACATGTTATTTTAGAGTATTTAGAGATAAGAAAAACCATTGTGTGAAATAAATTTGTCATAGCATGTTTAAATAAATTTGTCATAGCATAGCATCTCAGTTATACTTTGAAAAGATTTAAAAAAATGGTAGATTTAAAAAAAAAATATTTTATTTTTTTGCCGCACTATAACTATTAATTGCCACAATTTTTAAAAGATAAAGCTGTAGCTAAACAAAAGATTCAGTCTAATTTTTATGAACAAAATGGGACTTGTTGATTTCCCTAAAAGTGGTGGTTCTGGAACAAGCAACGATTGTAATACTTCAAGATTGATTTTGCAGCATATGAATAAACAGCTAAAATTCTGGGTATTGGTCAAAACCTTATATTCAGATTTTACATTATCATGGTAACACTACATTCAGGATATGAAGTAGACTGCCTAAAATTCAAGGATTATTGCTTTGACACTGTTAGACTATATGTGTCTCTTTATCCATATTATTATATGGCTCAATATGTGCACAAAGTGTACATACATGGACATGGCACAATTAAAAGCCTTACATTACTAATCAAACTTATGTCAGGGGAAGCTCAAGAGGCTAGAAATAAAGACTTCAATTCTTATCGCTAAAATTTCAGCCAAAAAACATCCAGAGGAGCAACAAATACTGATCTGATCAATAGACTCCTAGTTTCCAGTGATCCTGTTATTTAATCACTGCGTTAATCAACATCACATTTAACAACTCATAAAACATTTCCTTGAGATGTTTTACAATTATTTAAACAATCATCAAACGATATTATATAAATTTTTAATGTAATTTAAAATTGACTATGTTTTCTTGCACTATTTATTATTGCTAAAACATTATTTACCTTAATACTATTATTACCTAAATTATTATTCTATATAGGTGGGTCGAAAATTATATAAAATTTCTTTAAAAATCAATTTTCTCCTTTGTTACTTAGGAAAGTATCTGGTAACTAAGCAATATACAACCCTCAGAATAAGGAAAAAAGGGATCGGCAATAATTTGCCAACCTCGAACTTTTTGAGGTCAGCATCAGGTCGGCAAAATTATTTGTTACAATGGTCTGACCATAAAACATAGAAACGAAGTCGGCTTTTTTTTGTCATCCTGAAACACTTTCAGGTCGACAGTTAGGTCGGCATTGCCAAATGCAGACTCTAATTTCAAGGGTTGAATATAAGTATCCATAGCAACTAAATAAAAAAAATCTCTTTTATAAGAAGCGTGATCTCATATTGGTACTCATGCCAAATTTAGTGAATATAACATTCGTAAAATATCTGCAAATACCAAAAATAGGTTTTTGCTAAGCAAAATAAAGGTACTCAAGCAAAATCATAGTACTCATGCTAATTTTAGTGAATATAGCCATAATATTAAAATGACTTTTGAATTTTGTCCAGTCAAAGTGAGGTGATCCATGTTGGACCTCTGAGGTGATTCATGTTGGACCTTAGTCCACTTAGCATGGAATGACCCATAACTGTTCTACTAAAAGGTTAATGAAATTATAAAAATTAACTTTTTATAAAATACTTGCACAAATGCACCAAAAGTAAATTTTAGCTTCTTAAAATTTTTTTTTTCTTGCTCATTCTTTATTGCAATTTTTTTTTTTGTGTGTGTAGTTTTTTGAACCTCTTTTTATATATAAATCTAAATTCATTTTATGATTACCTAATATAATTAAATTAATATAATTAATTAATAAATTAATTAAATTTGAATACCTAATATAATTAGATTGATATAATTAATTAATAAATTAATTAAATTTGAATACCTAATATAATTAGAATAATATAATGATTATCTAATATAATACATATTAATAATAACATTAAAATTTAGAAAATATTGGAGAGCATGGTTTTGTAGCATATTTAAATAACCTTGGAGAAGTAAGTTCTTTTTTTTCAGCATAATTTATGAGATTATTTAAATTTTAATGCAGGGTTTTTTTTAAATTGCATAAATAAATATTAAGGTTGCTAACATATGTTGTCAACCTTAAATAAGATAAAAGTTGAATAAATATAATCATTATATTTTTTTGTTATTCAACAAAAAATGGATTAAGTTTTAATCAAACATGAAAACAATATTATTGTAAACTTGGAACTTTTCTAATTTTTGGGTTAAAGTCCTAAGATTATTGTTTTAAAAATGAATTTTAAATCTGGTATAAAAATAATGTTTTTTGTTAATATCATGTTTTTTTTTTTTTTTTTTTTTTTGATTCGCACATTTTAAAATGTATTGTAACTTTTGTGAATAGATGACATTTATCTGGAATTTTTCTAAATTATGGACAAACTAATAAAACGATTTTTATGCAAATTATATATATATATATATATATATATATTTATATATATATATATATATATATATATCATTATTTGGAAAGTTTGTTTCATTTCTCAGGCAGTTTATAAGTATTATTTACATTTGATCTTTATTATACTTTTTTTTACATTATTACATTATATATATATATATATATATATATTTTTTTGATCTTTATTTCACTTTTTTAATATTTATTTCAAACATATTATTAAAGGCTGTTAATAATTGGTTGTTGTAAAGCGTTTACATAAAATTGATAAGTGAAACTCTGTTGGAAATTGTGAAAACATAAAATGCTCTTTCAGAGTTGCGATGTTGAAAGAAAATTATTACTGCTAATTTAGAAATTAAATTTAAATAGCTTCTTTAGTGACCTGTTAAAGAGAGCTGAATAAATGCATAAAGAAAAAATTATTCTTAACCTAAGTTAGTACCTGTTTTTAACCTAAACTAGTAACCTGTACCTGTAACCTAGTTACCTGTTTTTAACCAAGCCTAGTACAGGGTTCCTACTGTACCTGGAAAACCTGGAAAATCAGCCAAATTTAGATAAAGTCATGGAAAACCTGGAGAAGTCAGGGAAATTTTTTTTTTTTTAGGTAGTCAGGGAAAAGTCAGGGAATTCTGATTGAGAAACTACTCGTTTTGCAAATAAGCTATTATGTTTCTGTTGGTGCTTCCCATTTATTTTGACAATTAAAAAATACCCTACAGTGTTTTATAGGAAGGCATGCGATGGCATACCTTTACCACGCATATAATATTTTATTTTTTAAAATTTGACCACGGCTTTTTAACTTTTTTAAAACTTGAATATTTTTAAATGTATTTTAATAGGCAAATCGCTCTTATTACTAACAATTGTTTTAAAATATTAATCAATAAAAATATTTTATTTAAATTATCTATGGTTATTATTTTATTTTTACAATAATAGTGTATGTTTCTTTTTTTTATTTATTTAAAAAAAATAATTCCTTTTTTTTATTTATTATAAAAAAACTAAATTTTTATGATCAATTTCAATCGTTTAAAACTATTTCTGTAATTTATTCTATAAACAACAGCATCTTTAACTTTAAACATTTTTGTTTCTTTAAAGCGAAAAACTTCTTTTTTTATTTTAAGTTACATAAGTTACAGAAAATTTCAAAGAATTTCAACTTTGTTGAAAACCTTTTTATTAAAAAAGTATTGGTTTCTATAAGCATTACAATGGCTATTATCATTTTGAAATATTTTGTTTCCATTTTTAGAATTAAAATAATGAATAAAATAAAAAAAAAGAATTTTAAAGAAGAATGGTTAAATAAAGACATTTACCCTTATTTTGACTCTTGGCTAATGAAAGGAAAAAATAACACCCAGGCAAGATGCAAATTATGCAATAAAATAATTGAATTTTCAAACATGGGTATTCAAGCAATAAAAAGTCACGAGAAAGGAAAAAAACATGTTTCAGTTGCAAGCAATTTCTCTTGTTTTTTTAAATCATCTGGCTCTAAAAATACTAATTCACCTAATTCAGTAAAAGAGTCTAATTTAAAGACAACTGATAGTTTCTCAACAGGACAAATGAAGCAGCAATCTTTAGAACTCATCGTATCAAATTCTAATAAAATCCTGCAGAAATTATGTGGGCATTGCATTGTTGCTTAAATAGAATTTCTAACAATTCAAACAAAAATGTCACAAATTTGTTTCAAGCAATGTTTCTTGACAGTGAGATTGCTAAATCTTTTCAAATGGGACCAAATAAAGTCGGATATAGCATCACTCATGGTCTTGGGCCTTATTTTAAAGGTTTACTTAAACAACAAATGAGCCTGTCTCCTTGGCTTGTCGTATCCTTTGATGAATCCCTCAACAAAAAAACTTGTCAAATGGATTTACTCATCCGGTATTGGAATAAGGAAAAAATGCAAGTTGAAGTGAGGTATTAGGATTCCTCATTTAGTGGACATAGTACTAGTCTTGATTTGGTAAATCATTTTAATGAAAAGATAAGTGATATTAATATCAGCAAAATTGTTCAGGTCTCTATGGATGGACCCAGTGTCAACTTGAAATTTCACAGAGACATTCAAAGCAAACGTGAAGAGCACGAATTATCTAAACTTATTGACTTAGGCTGCTGTTCCCTACACATAATTCATGGTGCTTTCAAAACAGGAGTAGAATCAACTGATTGGGAACTTAAAAAGACATTTAAAAGCTGCTTTACCTTATTTCATGATTCTCCTGCTAGAAGAAGTGACTTTATCAGTATCACTGAAGGTTCTGTGTTCCCACTTTCATTTTGCGCAACTAGATGGGTTGAAGACAAAAAGGTAGCGGATAGATTAATTAGTATTTGGCCATCTATTATAAAAATTGTTAATTATTGGGAGTCTCTGCCTAAAAGTAAACGACCATCTTGCAAATCATATAAGTTTATTTTAAATGCTGTTAAAAAAGAACTTTCCCTTGTAAAATTCCAGTTTTTTAGCTACCTGGCGAGCAAGTTTGAACCGTTTCTGAAGCTTTATCTGACAGACGCTCCAATGTTGCCTCACATGAATGGTGATCTTTTGCAGTTGATTAAGAGTATTCTTAGGATGTTCACTAAATCTGAAACTATTGAGGCTACCTCAAAACTTACCAAAATTGATCTGCAAAATAAAGAGAACCATTTGAAACCCAGTGAAATTGATATTGGGTTTGCTGCTGAATTATCACTGTCAAAGCTCAGAAAAAATGATGCAGTTATTTTGAAGGATATGAAAGAATTTAAAATTCAATGCATGCACATTTTGGTTTCAGCTGCTGAAAAGTTATTTAAAAGATGTCCCCTTGATTCCGTGATTGTTAACACGAGTACTTGTTTGCTTCCAAATTTTTATGCTCAGATCACACCTGAAAAAAATAGGAATCAAATGAAAATATTGCTGCATCATCTTATTTCACTTGGAATATTAACTGCTTCTTATTCTGACAAAGTTATCAGCCAGTTCTCAAAGTTTATTTCATCAGAATTTGCTCTGAATCAGGATGTTTTCATTAGTTATGATCGAAATAATAAACGTCTTGATGATTTTTACTTCAAAAACATTGACATAAAAAAGTATCCAGAGTTGTCATCTGTCATCAAGTTTGTTTTAACTCTCATGAGTCATGGACAGGCATCAGTTGAACGGGGGTTTAGTGTCAATAAGGATGTGGTTATCGATAATATATCAACAGATGGTATTGTTGGACGGCGTCTTGTGCGTGATTTCATGCTTATCAACAACCTCAACCCCCACTCTGTCCAGATTACATCAGAAATGAAAGTTGCCTTTAAATCTGCTCATCAAAAATACCGGATCATGCTTGAGGAAGAGAAGTCAAAAAATAAAAAACATGCAATGTTAGATCAGAAAGCCATTATTTTGTCTAAAATTGAAGAGCTAAAATCTAAAATGGGTTTCCTTACAAAAACTTCATTGATGCTAGAAAATGAGTTTGTCTTAACTGTGGAACAAGCGGAAAAAGATAACAATTTATCATTGGTCAGCAAAGCGAATGCTTTAAAAAGGAAAAGTGAGGAGAAAATGAAAGACGTAGCTAAGTTGCAGGAAACATTATTGATATTAGAAGAGAAGAGAAAGAAACTGAATTAACAATAGTTGCGAAATGAATTAGCGAAGGTACAGCTACAAATAGTGATAAAAAACAACTAACCCAAAGTAGTCTCTGTTATAGACCAAACATTGCTCAAAATGTTGAAAGATATCTACATAGACATTTTAGTTTATTTTTGTGTTAGTGAAAAATAATTATATATAAAATATTTTATGTGCATAATATTTAGATTTTCTTGAAGATCATCTGAAACTAAATTTTATGTGCGTAATATTTAGATTTTTTAAGAAGCTTACCTGAAACTTCTTATTGTTTATTCTTAGTCATCCTTAATAATAAGATCCATACTAATATGCATAATAAAATCTATACTAACATCCAACTTAACTAATAGCTAAGTTTTATAAGTTTTGTCATTCTAAGCATGTACATTTTAGCATTTTCATTACAGTAGTAATTTTTAACATTTTATAAAAACCATTGCAAATGTTAAAAATGGTCAGGGAAATTCATCTGATTTTTCAAAAAAGTCAGGGAAATTTTTATAAATATGTGGCTACGAACCCTGTAGTAACTGTTTTTAACCTTTTATTTCTTAACCTAAGTTAGTATCTGTTTTTATTATTCTAATGCTTTTATTTTTTTAATTATTTTATTTATCTTTTTTAATATTAAATTATTTATTATTAAATAATTTATATTTTATCTAGTTTTTTATTCTAATATTTAAGTAATAAATTTTTATATTATAAAAGTTCATTCCTGGATAAATGTTAAAAATATTACTATTTATGGGTTTAAGGTAAATATTTACACAAACAAATATTTTTTCATATTGTGAAAGTTTGAGCTCTATTCTAGTGTTTAATTTATTTTTTTTATTATCAATATTGTATTTTCTCAATTTTTTCTTTTATAACGTGAATGTCTGCCAAATGTTGCCTTG